GCAGTCTGACTTACAAGATTTTGAGTTACAACGTTTTGCACTTACAAAGTTTATAAGTTGACACCGTTTCAACTTTAACGTCAGTTTCAACTTTACAAGGCTTGATCCAACATGATGCCATGCCAGCAAACAAGTTCGCCGTGTCACCCATCTCCCTAGAGAACATCTGTCCAAACTTCCCTGGACACTTTCTTTAAGAAAGCAGACAAGACTCCAGAAAAACCTGCAGCCAAGACTCCTGAGAAGACTGGCCAAGAGCCCTTCAAAAAGTCCAGCAAAATCACCACAAAGAAGTCCTTCCAAATCAAGATTGCTATTTACAATATAAATACATTAATGTAGCTATATTACTCATATATAATTGATTGAGTACAAAATTCTGGATTATTTTTGGTGAAAATAGGGTATCAGGTCTTGGTTCAGGAACCAAGCCATCATTTATAACATTGTTTCCTATGGGAAAATTGGTTCCGAGTTACAATGTTTTGACTTAAGACATGGTTTTCAGGAACCAATTGTGTTGCAAGTCTGAGAACTGTCTATAAGTATAAGGGCATGTAGGCATCATTTCCTTCTAGAAAATGCATTTGTGGAGGCATGCTCAGAATCTGACCATGTAACAAGTGTGCAGGTAAAACAGAATACAATCAACTTGTTTCTGAATACTGTTTCTTAATATGCAAAAGGGTGATGATAGAAATTTTTTGTCCTACATCTAAAGGGCCTTTCCATCAGGACATAAAACAGTGAATAACGGTAATGCTTCTGAAATGCATGGAATATGAAGTTTTTGACTGCAGTTTCGTATAATTTCAGATCAGTATTATTACTGTATGGAACTGTCAACTTTTGAAATCAGCTCCAATAGAAAAGACTAATAGGAGTTCTCTTGGAGGATGACTCCATCTCCAAAACATTTTGTAATCAAGTTCTTGTAAAAGATGCAATGACCAGTAAATTTCTTGGAAAAAAATCCCTCTCAAGGTGATTAATTTTTTGGTAAAGAGAACAGATGAGGCAAGAACAGTCTTTTGGAATACTTTACAATAAAAATAGTTCAGGATGGATAGTATGGATAAAATCCAGAAATTTTACAGATTTACAATACAAAGCTCAGGATTACAGAAGTACTAAAACAGGATCCTTAACCGGGCTGTCATGGTCACCAACCGAACTCA